AAGGCTTTAGGCCATCCTTGACTTCTTTCCCAGGCCATAAGCAGGGAGCTGGATGGGAAGTGGAGGTGCTGGGATTAGAAGCAGCACCCATATGGGATCCTGGCATGTTCAAGGCGAGCACTTTAGCCACTATGCTGTTGCACTGGGCCCTGTATCCTAATTTTATCTAGCCACTTTCACATGGTTTTTAAAATATTTTCAAAATTTAACATTTTAACTTTGTGCTGTGCAGAAAGTACCTGTCAAATATATTGGACTAATAATGCTCGTCTCTTTTTAAACTGTGGGTCATGTGTTCATATTAGAATTGTCGCATCCCTTATTAATTAACCCATTTTGTTTCATTTAAAGACACTTCTTGCTCGTGATTCATGCCACTTGTATATTAATGCGTACTCATTCAAATGAATAGAATTCTGAGAACTTCAGTGTGCTGAGTCTTCATTTTACCATTAGATGGAGAATCTTGAGTTTTATCAGTAGGAGATTTGAGCTCGCAAATGCATTCTGCCACTTACTAATTGTGACATCTGGGTTTATCCATGTAAGAGATAGGCCTGCTTATCTAAAAAGCCTTTGTCTCATTGTGTTTTAATGCCAGGAAGGGAATGTTATATAACATGACAATATTTTGGCATACTTAAATGGGCAGTGAAAAGGGTAAGGAGATAGGAAAATGAAGATCAGTACCCCAAAATATATTTCTAAAGCATCTATCAGACTTAAAGAGCATGTCGTTTATTTGTTTTTAATTTTTAAGATTTTTTTTTTATTGCAAAGTTAGATATATGTAGAGAGAGGATGAAAGACATCTCCATCTGATGATTCACTCCCCAAGCAGCTACAATAGCTGGAGCTGAGCCAAACCAAAGCCAGGAGCCATGAGGATCCTCTGGGTCTCCTATGTGAATACAGTGTCCTTTGCGCCATCCTTGACTGCTTTCCCAGGCCACAAGCAGGGAGCTGGATGGGAAGGGGGCCTCCGGGATTTGAACCGCCATCCATATGGGATTCTGGTGCATTCAAGGCGAGGACTTGAGCTGCTAGGCCATGGCACTGGGCTCATGTGTAGCTTATTACATGTTTTTTCCTCAATTTATTTAATAAAGTTATGATGATGCAAATTATAGTTGAAAATTGTAGCAATAGAGCCTATTTTCCAAAAACTTTAATAATGTTGGGCACTTAAAAATATTTATAATAAAGTTCAATTCAAGACTGGTGTCTATAAATATTTAGACATTATCCTTCGCAGCAGTCTGTATCTGAAAAGAACAATAATGTGGTAAATTTACACTTTGCATAAATAGTGTCAGTGGTAAGCTCTTGCTGATTTGGGTCTACTAATTGGGAACAGTGGATGCTGCATCTCTGTATTAACTAGAAGGTGTTAGTTTCTGCAGGGAAAAGAGAAATTCTATGGCGTAAGCCTCCTATTGCTGGTTAAGTGGCCTGCAGAGGGGCTGGCAGCTCACACAGTCCCGTAACTGAGGGCCAGCGCCGGGTGCCGTCTGCTGAAGCGCAGCGCTCATGTTCTTCTGCTGCTACATTCATTTATATAAAAGTGAAAAATTCTTTAGTAGTCAGCATACTCGCTAATAACTTACTAAGGCAGTTTTAATTCGACATCAGTCCACATTATACAGCGCATGCCTCTCAAGTCTTCGATTTCATGGTCAGCTTTCATAGAACGATTTTTAATGTTGTGAAGAGTATAAACACATTTGTATAATTTACTAACAATAGTGATTTTGAAGATGAATGGTTTTGAGCACTTTGAGAGCCAGACTGTAAATGTGTTGGAGTGTTTGTACATGTAGAAGTAGATTTGGATTTTGTTTTACCTGCTGGTTTTTTAGGCTGTCATTTTTCCCTATAATAGTGAAAATTTGCATTATTTTAAAAATCCTGTTTTTGTAGTTTCCAAAGCATCGTGTCTGCAATATAACAGCATAATAGTAGTTTACTAACTTACAGGTTAGGAGGTTATTTTTCTACTTCATAATTGCTTCATAATTTGCTCTTCGCTGAACCTGGTTAGTGAAAGACACCAGAACCACTGCTCAATGGGAAACATAATCAGTCTACCATTTAGATTTTGTTCGTGTTTCAAGCTGAGCTCACCATCTGTTTATTTCAAGAGGGCTGTTTAAAACTTGTTCCGATTTGTTTTTCCTTGAGTTGTTGTGACAGTGAAATACTCATTTTCTACCTTCATTGACATCACACAAAACTGGGGTTTTAGAGTCAGATTAAGCCTTCAAGAAAAACCGTCTTCCCCCACTTCCAGGTTTTCTAAGTCATTCTAGCAAAGTCCTTACAGATCATCAACTCTGCTGTCTGCCAGAAAACTGTTAGCATTGCTGTTGCAATTCTGATAGCATATATATGCCACTGCGGGTTCTGACTGATCTTTAGTTGTAGCTGTGTGTATTGGTACAGTAGTAGAAACTTGTGCATAGAACGCAGCTATGTTAGGTATATGAAGCAGGTTTGAAAAGTTAGGAAGGAAGGAGTAAGTAATTGAAATTGGAATTTGAAAATCAAGCTAGAAATTACTGTTAAATTGATAGCCTTCAAACCACGTAATATTTATGAGAATGTAATGTAATGCATGTTTGTTGCGTGGACCAGTGCTGTGGCATGGTGGATGAACTTCTGACTGCCTTGCCAGTATCACACATGGGTGCTGGGGTGTCTCCCAGCTGCTCCACTTTTGATTCAACTCCCTGCTAATGCTTTTGGGAAAGCAGCAGCAGATGAACCAAGTGCTTGGTCTCTGCACCCACATGGAAGATCCAGAGGAACCTTCTGGCTCCTGTTTTCCAAAGGCAGGGTTAACAGACAGAGGTCTTCAATCCACCGATTCATTCCCCAAATGGCTGCAGTGGCCAGGACTGGGCCAGTCTGAAGTCAGGAGCTTCTTCTAGATCTCCTATATTGATGGGAGAGGGCCAATCACATGGGCTATCGTCTGCTGCTTTCCTAGGCCATAAACAAGGAGCTGGGTTGAAAGTGAGGCACGGCCTGGCGTGGTAGTCTAACGGCTAAAGTCCTCACCTTGAATGCGCCAATATCCCATATGGGCGCTGGTTCTAATCCACATGGCCCTGCTTCCCATCCAGCTCCCTGCTAGTGGCCTGGGAAAGCAATCAAGGGCAGCCCAAAAGCCTTGGGACCACACCCCCATGTGGGAGACCCACAAGTAGCTCCTGGCTTCTGACTGTTGCAGCTCCAGCTATTGCAGCTACTTTGGGAGTGAATCAACAGATGGAAGATCTTCCTCTCTGTCTCCTCCTCTCTGTATATCTGACTTTCCAATGAAAATATCTCTAAAAACAAAAACATACACTTTTATTACCCATGATAAACACAAATAGAAATTAAGAGTTTTGTAATAATAACTGTGTGTCCAGTCACATCCATAGTTTCTTTCCACAGAAGTAACCCCAACAGTAAACTTCTAAATATATTTTAGGAATCCTAAGACTCAAAACCAGAGCAACCTCTGAAAATGATTTTTTTCTTAGATATCTCCTTTATCTCAAAAGTTAACTGATGTTTGAAGTTCTGGTTAAGAGTATATCCAAATGAGATACCTTCAGAAGTTCATGGCAATGTGTAACACGAAAAACTGTCTCAGAATTTTTTGTACCCAAAAATTCATTTTCCACAAACTTCCCTGAGTGCCCTAGCTGTTAGTGTATTATATACAGCTTCTTTTTCTCCCAATTGTTCACAGTACAAAGAGAAATGAATTATGACTAGTTATGAATGTAGAGCCCTCTGGCACACCATGGGGACTGAGCATAACGAGACCACAGGCCTGTCGTTACCTGATCCTCATGGTGGCCCTGTGACCACACACAGGCCAAGAGGAGACTAGGTAAGGTCAGCTTTGTCTGAATCCTTACTATTAATAAGCATTATATAACAGTGAAACATTTTTTCTTTAATCACATTTTTGACATGAGTATGTGTGTGCTCTTCTAGTGAAACACTAGTTTCAGGAAACCCAAAGACTTTGCCTGTCCTCTGTAATGACGGGTGAAGTTACAGTTTGAAGTTTCTCGGTGAGACCTCTTAAGAGCAAAACTGTAAAGCTTTGATGTGTAGCCTTTTACTACTTACTATCTTACAATATAGTTCCATAGGCTCTGGAATTTGCCTTCCTCACTCTCTAAGACTGATCCTCCCCACTGATTTCCTCTATAAACAGTCATAAGTTCATAATTCGTTTATTTAAGTGTTTCCTGACATTGTAGGTATAAACAGTGGCAGAGAGTCTAGCATCCTATTGTCAAGTTACCTTTAACAAGTGTCATTGGGAGTCCATCTTTGATTTGGGAGTAGAGATGCATACTGCATTATATCCACATCTGGATATGATAATCTCTATTACACAGTTACTATACATCCCCGTAAGTGAAAAGCCATAAAACAAAATCAACAGGAAGGAAAATATAAAATTAAGTAACGTACTACTGGATGACCAATGTGTCAGTGAAGAAATGAAAAAGAAGAAAAAGATATGTAACTTACTAAGTTTTAATTTCTTAACATTGCTTTAATTAGTGATTGTCTTCACTTTATATGTTAAGGAGAAATATTTATTTCTGGTAACTGTATGTACTTTTTTTACTTGAATGTGTGGCATTATTTGATGAAGTGCTTCAGATGACTTTATGTAGCTTTTTATTTTGGATTAGCGATCTGCCTGTCTTAACATTTATTTAGCAAGACAGTATAGCTACAAAGACTCAGATTTGCAGGGAGTAGATTAGAATGAAAAACCATTGATGGTAAAAAGTGAAAAAAAAATGCAAGTGGTAACATATAGCTTAAAACTAGCTTCAAATGTGGCTCATGAAAATTGTTATTTTCAGTATTTCAGGCTTCTACATTAAGGGCATTTTTGTGGGTGGAACAAATGTAAACATGCAGAATATGAATGGGTAAATAATGTTCTGATTCTGTACTTCTTTTCTTTCAATTTTCAGTTGTTGACCTCCTCTACTGGAGAGACATTAAGAAGACTGGAGTGGTGTTTGGTGCCAGCTTATTCCTGCTGCTCTCGCTGACAGTGTTCAGCATTGTGAGTGTAACGGCCTACATTGCCTTGGCTCTGCTCTCTGTGACTATCAGCTTTAGGATATATAAGGGTGTGATCCAAGCGATCCAGAAATCAGATGAAGGCCACCCGTTCAGGTGAGATGTTTGCACAGCAAGACACACGTTGGTAAAAGTGTAAACAAGATTAGTACTGAAACTTTATTTTTTGTGTTGGTTAAAGTTAATTGCAAGTTTTTGATGAAAAGCTATGCCAGAAAGCGTCAGCTCTGAAGGTTTCTGGGATCGTGTCTTGGCCTTTTGGCTAAGGTTAATGTGAAGGTTCTGGAATGTCATTTGAGAGGCTCAACATAGGGTGTATGTACAAGCACTCTTTCTTATGGAACACTTACTAAAGGTAGAATTTTCTCTTAATTTGACTTTGATATTCTTTTCTAACTAGAGAGGATTATGTTATCTTTTAGTTTTTATGTTATCTGATAGGAAATACTGTGATTTTTGTTTTGTTTTGTTTTAATGTATCTTTTCAGTAGCGTACGTAAGTTTTTCTGCTATACTTTCCCTTCCTGGCTATGTCTAACTCCTGTTCCTCGCTTGCTGAGGTTATCACTTTTCCATGTTTGTCTGCAGAGCTAAAGTACAGTTCTCAAGCATTAGCTTCTATGTTCGTACATGTGTACTCCAGCAATAAAAGCCCGGTTGCTATTAAGGCACACTTCAGCATCAGTTTTCTGCCCTGATTTCTTATGTCATGTTTTTTGACCCATTTATTTTAAATATGCAAATCACATGCTATAAAAACAAATAGTTTGTAGTAGAGATACAGGATTGTATAGTCACCACTCTTATTTCAGAAAATTTCATCATATGAAGAAAACCTTCATATTTACTAGCAGTTAGTTATTTCCTAACTAGCTCTTCAGAGAACCACTAACTCATCATGTTCTTTCTCCCTCAAATTTGTTGGCCTCTATTAGGGATGACACCATTATCCTAGTTTTTAAGCTGCTGGCTTTCATGTTACCTTGTTTTCATTTAATATAAAGAAATTCATTAAATTTGTTTCCCGTTGTTGCCTCAGTCTGGACCAGGAAGCCATAAACTTAGAACTATGGCCAAACCAGTTGTTACTTGATCTATAAATGGTTTTACTGGAACACAGCTGTGTGGTGGGCTCATCCTATGATAGAAGGCACTGGTTCTGAAGGAGAGCACATGGATTTGGGGACTACAATATTGAAAACAAGTATTTGCTTAGGTCTGGTTAGACTCCAGGTGTTCCTAGAATAACTGCTAGTTACTTCAAAGTTTCATCAACTCTGACACATTTTCAAATGACTTTTTCTAAAATATTGCTTTTATCCTAAAGGATAAAGCCCAAAGATCTGTGTCTCACCTGTCACTCCTGCTGTAACGTCGTGCCCTTGTCATGCCCTGTGTGTGCTGCCTACCTTGTATTTTTTCGTGTCCCGGTGTATCCTGCTTTTTATTTGGCTCTGTTTCATTTGAAACCCAGATCTTTGGAGCTTTCTCTAACACTGGCCAAAAATGCTGTGAGAGTCCCTTCTTACTGCATTATGACTTAGAACTGTTTTCTAAATGATTTTGATTTTGGGTATCATTCCTCTTTAAGTAGATAGTGAGCATTTAAAAAGTCATTTGGCAAGGTGAGTATCTTTTTACCATGAGTGAGTTTGTAATTTCCTAAACCGTTAGCTGATACTAATAGGTAAGCTTAAATTGATTTTAAATTTAGAAAAACAAGGGAGAACTATTTATTCTTGCTGCAAAGATGGTTTGATTTTCTCTGTAATGAAATAATGTTAAATATCTTTGGGGAGAGGCTTTAAGTAAATACTTAATTTTCGTAACTGAGATGGGAAGCAGTATTTCTCCATTTCACTGAATGGAAAAGCAAACTTGGATTCAGGAATTTTAAAACTGCAGAACCATGTCATAGCATACACAGATCATCAGTATTATTTTTAATTAGTTATATTCAAATGTGTAAGAATATTGTCTATTGATTGTCACCCTCTGAGAGCAGCATGAATACACTGCACTGACCATGGAAGCTCAAATAAGGCTAACCTGGCACTGGCTGACATAGATTAGGATAAAGGCAGATCAGAGATTGATTTGTGGATTGATAAAGTATTCCAGTTTGTATGTAATAAGCACCGAGAGATGGCAGTGTGAATAGAAGCAAGCAGATGTATTGGGGTGACCTGGCTGTGGTGAAAATGGGGGAGAAGGGTTATTATTCTAAGTAACTGGTGCCCAGTCATGGGGAGATGGGGAGTCAGGTGAAGAAGTGCTGCTGACAGACAGGAGAGCACTGAGCAGTTGGCATTTGATTCTTTGAAACAGCAGTTACTGAAAGAGTTCATTACATCGCTGCTAATGTGACATTTTATAGTCATATTCTTAAGTATATTAAGTCCAACCATATCAGTAGGTTAGAGCATTTAGGTGGACAGTAAATACCATGTTTACTGAGCTTCTGGCAGCAACTGTAATCTGCTGCTTGATACTGGAGCAGTTTCTCTTGAAGATTAGGCTGATGACAGAGTGTAGGATTTGGAAATGAATAGGATCTTGGGTAGGAAAACTGAGTAAGTCTGTGGTAATACAACTCAGAACATGCTGGTCTTACCTTGGAGGCTAGCCAGAATCAGATCTGTTTGGCACTTGGATGTGAAGAAAACTTAGTGAAATGAAAACATAATGTTGATTTAAGGAAAAAAGTGAAAGCCAATAATAATCATTTATTACATGTTTGTTGCCGAGAGGTGTTACATTAATTACCAAATCTTTACGATCTCATTTTATAAATGAGGAAACTGAGGTTTTCTAAGTAAGTCCAAACAGCTTTGCAGAGTTATAATACAGCTTGATAACTCGTGGCTAAATTTGAAGCTAGATCAGTCTGGCTTTTTCTGGGTGAGTCAGCTAACAGTAATATCATGAAATAGTTCTTACTTGCTGATTTTTTATGTTGAGTCTATTTTGGAAACAGTGTATTTCTGTTACAGGTGTTACTCATACTTTTTGTAAATATATAAGAGGCTTCAAAAAGTTCATGGAAAGGATGTATTATATCTTATTTCCATTTATCCATGAACCTTTAAAAGCCCCATAATTGTTGACTTGCATGGGCAAAAATGACTCAAATTCGTAAGTTAGTGTATGTTTTGTTTTGCAGGGCATATTTGGAATCTGATGTTGCGATATCTGAGGAGTTGGTTCAGAAATACAGTAATTCTGCTCTTGGTCATGTGAACTGCACAATAAAAGAACTCAGGCGTCTCTTCCTAGTTGATGACTTAGTCGATTCTTTGAAGGTAAGTTTTATGTTTTTGTCTCACATAACTAGAATTTAATAAGTTAAACATAAAATCCATTCTATGAACAGGTAAATGGTAAGGTATAAAATCATGTTTGCATGCATTTGCATTTTAAAGTTGAGAATACAGTTATATATTTAGGATGGAAGAAGATGTTGTAGGGAAAATTTTAAGTTGATAAGGAAACCTTAAAGCTTAAAAGTATGAGAATTAAATGAGAATAATGGCCATAAAAATTATCTAGTTATTTTAATAACAAATATGATTTATTTACTTGATTTTGAGTCTAGCATCTAGTTTATATGTGATTCACATACATGAGTTATTTTATATCTTGGATTCATGAGTGTTTGTTCTGGAAAATATTTAGTACTTTGGATTACCAAGTGAAGATTGAGTTATTTCAAAGTTTTTCTCCTTTTTCAACCTAAAGGAAAACAAAACCCCTGACTGTATTCAGGCTGATTTATTTTGCTATATTCAGATTCAAAATCATTTAAAATCTGTGTAAAGTTAGCTGTTGAATAACCCTAGCCTCTTAATGGTTTGTAGTCTTACAAATTTTTTAAAAAGATTTAGTGTTATTCAGGTAAGAGCCAGTCGAATTACTAGAGTTTTATGATACATAGCTAGGAAAATATAAACACTGTATTGAACTCTGTGGCTTATATGCAAAATAACAGTTCTCAAGTAAAAATGTGAAAGAGGTCTCCAGCTCACTGTCTTCATAAATGAAGCTTAGTGTCCTAAATTTTATATATTCTACATTTTGCAGATTATAGGTCACAGCCATCACTACATTGAAACCCTTTTCCTGCATAACTGAACATTTCAGAGCCATTTTTTCTGGCAGGTGACACTTTTTCTCCTGGTTACCTGTATTTTTGCCAGGTAGGGCAATGTAGGGAAGAGCCTATTATTTCAAACATAATAAAAGAAATAACCAAATTGTAAAAGGCCCAACACATTAAAACACCACTTGTGATGCTAGCATCGCCTTTTCAGGATGCTGATTGCACTTCCAGCTCCCTTGTAGTCAGCCTGGTAAAGGCAGTGGATGATGGCTTAAGTACTTGGAACTCGGTTGTGCAGGCTCCTGGTTTCAGCCTGGCCCCAGACCTCGCTATTGGTAGTCATTTAAGTTGAAATAGATGAAAGATCTCTTTCTGTCTCTCTTCCTGTCTCACTCTGTCTCTCAAATTGAGGAAATAAAAAAGCCCTGCTTGGTCCCTGCACGACAGTTCAAGTGGCTAATCCTGCACCTGCAAGCTCCAGCATCCTTAATAGGCACTGGTTCGTGTCCCAGCTATTCCACTTCCCAGCCAGCTCCCTGCTTGTGGCCTTCGGTTGGTAAAGGATGGCCCAAAGCCTGTGCCCCCGTGCCGTGTGGGAGACCTGGAAGAAGCTCAGAGGAAAAGGTCATGTTGGACATCAGTATGTTTGGATTTAGGTCTTCTGGCAATTAACTTAGGCAATGAAAATAGGGGAACATTCTACTCTAGAAAAGATTTGAAATATCTGTAATTTGAGCAGCAGTCTGTTTTCTGCTCTAGTGGCATGGCCAGTAACATGATGAACTTTCTCAGCTCATTCACTGGAACTGAAGGACTTAATGGTATAGCATTCCATTACAAGGAAGTGTTTTAACCTATCTGGATTTGTTGTAAACGTTGTTTCTTAAGGTGCATATATGCTACTAGGTACCAGAGGAAGGAAGGAGGGAATGTCCTTTGGTAACAAGGAGCCAACTGTGCAAAGTCCTTTCTTGGAGAATCGAGTGTATATAATGTGTTACTCTGGGAAGTTGGCAAAGCAGCTGTGTAAGTTAAACCTAGTGGCGTTTGTCGACCTTGTTTAAATACTGCTGAGACTTAATTGGTAAGATAGTTGAAGCAGTTAAAACCAGGTAGTTAAAATTTAATTCATTTTCTGTGATTAACCTGTTAAACTATGTTTAATATGGCTCTCATTTAAAAATAAGAGTTCTCAGTGTTTGGCACAGTTGGCCATCACCTGGGGAGCTGTGCAGCAGCTGATAGTAAGCAGCTAAGGGGGTGAGTGGTGGTCCCATCCAGTGAAATTCCAGGTCCCCTGGCGATACTTCCTGGAGAGTTGGTGTTTTTTTAAAAAGCAGTAACACTGAATGGTAAGTCCTTGGTTGTAACACACACAGCCCCCTTACTATACCACTTTGCAGTTATAAAAGAAAAGCGTGTCATGGTCCCATCTGACTTGGCTTTGGGGCTAATTGAAAAGGGCTCTGTGCCGCCTTGCAGTGTTCCTGCCTTTTGACATCCTAAGTCCCCAAAAGTCCTCAAGGGCTAAGACTAGGAGGAGATTATTGTTTTTCTGTAAGATGATTCTGTTTAATATTAGTTTCACATAACAGTAAGTCTATGGCGTTCAGTTTAAAAGTGATAGCTTGTAAGAAAATTTCTCAATGCTCCAGAATACAATCTTAAATCTGAAAGTGAGCAGAAAAAGCTCTGAGTCCAGAAATAGCTGACCCAAAAGAACATGAAATAGTCTTCAGGCTCTCCCACAGCTGCTAACATACACATTTCTCCAGCTCACAGGAGAATGTGCAGGGAAAGTAGACGTGGCCCACACCATGCTAAATGGCTGAGTCTTGGGGGCTGTCAGAGGTGAAACTGCAGTGCTTAGGAATGCATAAACATTTTGAAATTGTCACAAGTAATTTCTGAAACTCTATTAACAACTCCACTTCCGTTTTCCTTAAAGATGTTATCCTGCTTTCATTTGAGTCATTCTAAATCTGCAGAGCTCTTTAATCATGTGCGAGGCACTCAGTCCTTTGCTTATTCTGGAAGGGGTGCCTAGGACATGACCCCGCCATCAGCATTTGTTAGAACTTCATTACATTTTGGGCCTTTTTCGCTGCAGGCTCATTACTGCTATGATTCATGTGGTTTGTGTGTGCTGGCTGTAAGGCTACCAAGTATTTAGCATGGCCTGCCTGCCTGCAATTGATGGCCCAAAGGAGAGCAAGCAGTGTGCCCCGTTTGAGTCGGTGCTTCCTGACCTCTGTTCTGCTTCACTTAGAAACGCACACGAGTGCTTGGTTCCAGAACTCATGGTTACTTGGCGGTGGCTTCACAGCAGAGCAGAGCAGGTTGTAGTCAGATATACCCAGCATCTAAACATCAGTGCCCTAGCAACTTGATATTCCTGTCTTCTATGGGGACAATGGATGATTTAATTTTTGTAAAAATATGTAAGTGTTTAACAGTGAATATAAAGTATACCAACTGCCTTTTCTTTTTTAGCTTTGCTATTATGTAACAGTTGAAGGAATTGTGCATTTGGTAGAATGCTAGTTCTTCACCTATTTTCTTACTGTATGTTTTCTGGAAACGCTTACCTAGTATTTCTGTTTTGGGACTCTGAAGTTTCAAATTATCTCTAAATGTAACTGTAACATAAGGAAATTATTTCAGTATATAGAAATGTAAATCTCTGGTCTTGCTCCTTTTTTTTTTTTTCCGGCAAGATTGACAGGTAAGGGCAGTGGAATAGAAAGTCCCATCTGCTGGTTTACTCCCCAAATGGCTACAATGCCTGGGTTAGGCTAAAGCCGGTAGCCAGGAACTCCAGCTTGGTTTTCCAGTGGGTACCAGGCACCCAAGCGTGTGGATAATGCCAAGCAGACGAGCTGGGAACTGGATCAGAAGCAGCACAGCCAGGATGTGAACCAGTACTCTGATATGGGAGCCAGTGTCACTCGCAGTTTAACTGGCTGAGCCACACTGCCAGCGTCAGTGGGTCTCATTCTCAAAATGACAAAATTCTGAGCTGAGATTTGGATACTGTGTCAGAGCATGAGAGAAAGAAGGTGAATGGGAGAGACGGTGAGAGGCAGGTGCTATGGCTCTGCAAGTGGTTTGTCCACCCCATAGCACTGGCATGCCATATGGGTGCTGGCTTGTGTCCTGGCTGCTCCACTTCGGATCCAGCGCTCTGTTCAAGGCCTGGAAAGCAGCAGAGCATGCCCAAGGCCTTGGGATCCTGTGCCCACATGGGAGACCAGGAGAAACTCCTGGCTCCCAGCGTTGGATCAGCTCAGCTCCGGCCACTGCAGTCATTTGGGGAATGATCTTTCTCTGTGCCTCTCCTTCTGTGTGCAAATCTGCTTTCCAATAAAAAATAAATAAATCTTTAAAAAAATGAGAATGGGTTGGGGGGGAGAGAATGACAGGAGCGAGAAAATATGAGAAAGAGAAGAAGGCAAATGCATTCTCAGTCGTGAACAGCTTCCCTCGCGCATCTGTCAGTAGGTCCCGCAGACATCCCTGGTCTCCCTCTATTTTCTCTGCTGCCTTGTAGTCGAGAGTAGACACAGTTCCTGAAAGGGGCAAGTGCCATCAGAGCCCCTTAGCTGATGCAAGTGTGAGGACTTGGGCCTCTCTCCTTCTGCACGGGAATGCGGTCTTGTTAGTGACTAGTGGCCAAATTAGAACGTACTTTTAGTCTGTGTATGCTGCTGTATGAAATTAGTCATAGGAAGGGTAGGTTGTTGTTTCTTCCAAACTATGGAAGACTAAATCTTTTCCCTGTCGATTTTTGGGCAGTATTAGATGGAAATAGTTTTTTTCCTCCTCTGTCATAAACGTCCAAGTTACATTTAGCTTCTGTAAAAGCCTGAAACTATGAGGAAAAGGCTTGCTGACTGGAGCTAACCTTCCAGCTTTTCTGTCAGGCTCCTGAAACTGTTGCAAAGAACATCACAGCATTTTTTTCTTTGCAGTTGACAGGTGTTGAGAATGCCTGACATTTACCCAGTAGAACATCAGTTAAATTCAGTTGTAGGGGTGACCAGAGTGTTGCTGTTTTTAGAACTGACAGTTGGTGGAGGAATCCAGTGTCTTCCAGACCGACAGTGTACTTACCACGAGTCTGAGCACCTTAATCCAGTGCTCATCCCCAGCTCACCCTGGGCGTTCACATGCGAGTGAGCACATGAAGGTACATTTTAGTTAAGAGTCTGCAGACCACTGCTTGTCTGGCCCAGGAATGGTGTGTCATAAATGTCTACTTACTAAAGTTAGAAACAAAGCACTCTGTTGGATGGTGTGTGGAACATAAATCCTGCATTTTCTAGCAATTTATAGAAAAATTGCTGATGTTTGCTGTATGTATTAGAGATCTGTTCTTTTTGATTTATTACATAAAAATCACAGGAGATGGTGGTATCATCTGATATATGCTTGTTACAGACATAAGGGTTCTGATTTTGAGTCAAGAACTGCACATGGTGAGTAAGGAAATCTGCACTGATATGCTTATAAACCTCTAAAAAGTGCTTAACTTGCCATTGAGCACTTGTCCTGCCTGTACAGTGTCACAACATTGCAGACCCAGAAGTAAACAAGCTTTGTTGTCTGACCAACCTCATGAACAAACTATGGAGAGAATTCTTTTTTTAAGATGAAGTAAAGCTTTTCAGCAGTTCTTCGCTATCTCCATCCTCCTGAAAGGACTGTAAGGTCAGATACAGCCTGTCCAGCACGTCTTATTCCATTAAATACAGTTAGCCCTGCTATGAGAAAATCCTCAAATAGTTATACCTATTAATAAAAATCACTGCTACTATTCTTTTGCCACTAACTTCTAGCAAACAGCAATTCATTGTGTGTTAGCGATTGTATTAAACACCTTAGGGAAGCACACTGTTTGGTAGGAGGGTCGAGGTGCTGTTTTTCGTACCAGAAACCTCATTCCCCTGATGGTACTGTCTGCGCCTGGCATGTGTTCTGATCGGGGAAAACGGAATGGACCACTTGTTAGTACAGACAAAAAAAAAGTTCAATCTAATGATGGTTTAACTAGCATTTTGAAATTTGGAGTTGAGACTGCAAAGTGAAAATCTTGATGGCTTATGCTACTAGTAGGTTGATATTTAGATGGGATTCTTTCATTAGCTTAATGAAGAAGTTTTCCTTGAGTTTTATCTGTAATAGACTGCTATTGTTTTCTTACAGTTTGCAGTGTTGATGTGGGTATTTACCTATGTTGGTGCCTTGTTCAATGGGCTGACTCTTCTGATTTTGGGTAAGTCTGCAAAACTACTGCATTGGGAAATTGCAGGGAAATAGAAAACTTAAGAGATTATAGTGGAAAATTGAAGTTGGAGGCCATGGATCCATCCGTGAACACCCAGTTTACTGAGACAGCAAAAGGTGGCCTTAGCTGGTAGGGCACACGGCGATCCGGAAGGAGCTACCTGTACTAAGAGCGTGAATTTCCTCTTTCAGCTCTGATCTCACTCTTCAGTGTTCCTGTTATTTATGAGCGGCACCAGGTAATTTCTTAATTTGTGATTTCAGAATACAGTGCTCATTCTATGATGCAGCAGTACCAGTTTCACTAAGCCTTAAATTTAACTCATAAGAGAACTAATACCATTATAGGATTTTGTAAATCATTGTAACTCCTTTATACCTCTTTTAGGCGCAGATAGATCATTATCTGGGACTTGCAAATAAGAATGTTAAAGATGCTATGGCTAAGTAAGTATTTACAATCTGTATTATTATGTTTTAAACTCAGGACTAAGGTGTGCCAGATACTGAGATGGTAGCATTTTTACATTGTAGGCAGATATCAGAGCATGCTAAGTATTTTCTCTAAGACTTGGGTTCTACAGCCGCATTGTGGCAGAATTAGTGAAGGATGGCATTTTAAGGGACAGAAAGCAAAATACTTAAGGTGTTTACATTGATTCTTCACATTTTCATTTATAGAATTCAAGCAAAAATCCCTGGATTGAAGCGCAAAGCTGAGTGATGCACAAGAGCAGAGTTGATCTGGAAAGGGGCTCTTCATTTGATCACCTGGGGGAGGGTCAGGGAGGAATGAAACCTTGACGTTGCTGTGCAGTTTCACAGATCTTTATTTTTAGCAATGCACTGTATTGAGGAAAAATTACCTGTCTTGACTGCCCTGTGTTCATCATCTGAAGTATTGTAAGCTGCTATGTATGAATTTGAACCATAGTCATACTTGCTCCCTATGAGGCACTGGTAAGCAAAAATAAAGATCTGAGAAAGCTGTATATGACACTTGGTTACAGGTAGTCTTGCTGTATTTTGGGGAAGTTGATGAAAGGTGGAGCTGACAAAACTTTTCAGTTTGTGCGCTGTGTGTGGTCTGTGTAGATTGATGCAGGTTTTCTGAAATGAAATGTTTAGATGAGAACATATCACTAAAGGAAGAATAAAAAAGCTTGCCTTTATGATATGCTCTAGGTGTATTGTGAATTTTACTGTTATATTAATTGCCAATATAAGTAAATATAGATTATATATATCTATATATAGTGTTTCACAAAGCTTAGACCTTTACCTTGGAGCTGCCCCACAGTGCTTGATACTTCGGTCATTGGTTATACATGTGTAGTTCCAAAGCACATAAACTAGAAAAAAGAAAATATATTTCTAGGAGCACTACCATCCTTTTCCAACATGAAACAATGCCATACACATAGAACTCTGACATAAACTTCATTGCACAGACTTGCTGTAGTTACTTTCGTCACAAACTCTGAATCTGTGGACTGAACCTAATGCTTCCAAAAACCTTGTTTGCAAATATCAAACATTGTTATGCAAGAAACTATAAAATGGACTTATACCATTGTGGTTTAAGCTGTACTGAACTAAATCTGTGGAATGCATTGTGAACTGTAAAAGCAAAGTATCAATAAAGCTTATAGAATTGATGTGTTTTGTTTTACTGACATGCGCAGCAGTGGACTCGCCTTCAGCAGCTGGTGGGAACTTGTGCCGTGGTGCAGCTGTGTTGACTTTGAACACTTGGAAAACAAAGGACATGCTTACATAATCAAATTTATTTCACATACCAAAATGTTTCTGAAGTAGGCATTTTTATACATTACTAACAAAATAAACTCATGCACCAATATTTAGACAATACAGTACAGGTTTGTGAATATACACAAAATCATATATAAATGTTTACAAATAAATTAAGAATTTCTCTGGAGTCACACAGACACTAGTATCAGTTTTTTCAATGCAACATTGGATCAGTGTGAAAGGTTAGTAGTACAATATAGTTAGGCAGACATAATTATCACTCAAGCGTCACCAGGAACATGGTTACAGAAAACATTCAAAAATGCATAGGGACTACTATGGGCCCAACAACCTATTAGTGGATTAATGTAAGGCAGTAGTAAATGGTATATAAAAATAGCTTAATGACTCCTCTAATCCACTTAGAATGCTGAAGCACGTCTGTGGTGATATGCCACTCTATTATTTACTTGAAAATGCTTCGTTGTTTAGCCTTTTCTCTACACTAGAAAATGGCCAGGAACGCAAGATGCAGAATTTCAGTTTTCTGACTGGAAGGACCAGTTGGTGCCTGTGTGCAGAGCCACCAGTCCACTCCCCAACTGCTTCACTGAGCTGCAGCCACCCTGGGGCAGAGTGTCCCTGAAGGACGCCTTCTGATGAGTAGTGTCCAACTTGTACCTGTCGCAGCTGATTCTGAGGGACCCATACAAAGACTGTTGCATTGTGTTAACTGTCAACATCTCCAGCTTAAGGATTTGGTCTGCAAATTTTTACAACCTGGACTTGACCTTCATAGTTGTACCTGGAGCAAACCAATGGGGCCAAGTAAACCCCACTCTGGGGATTGTAAAACAGGGCAGTGCCACAGGCCACCTCATCAATTATTGTTTCAAGATTTAACAGGACAGATCAGCTCATCCCTCCTTTTTCTCCCGTCTATTTTGTAGGAGAGCTTTGTTTTGTTGGAATTCTATTTTGGATATTGTGGCTTTGGCACTAAACAATAAAAACCAATTCTGACCCCTCCAGAACTTAACTGCCATTTTTTCATTTAGGAAGCCCAGACATAAACACAGGAAGGACATGGTGACAGACTAGATGTATCTGCTAAGGGTCCTGGAGCCCTCCTCAGTTTTGAAATTGTAGCACCATATGTAAAAAAGATAATCTGTGGGAAGTGAGGCAGCAGCCCACACAACTGGAAACTTTCAAAGGCACTTAATGGATATCAAACTCAGCAAAGGAACATTAAAAAAGTAAGTTTCTCAACCTGTTTATACATGGCTCATTTGGCTTGGAAAGCTAGATGTGGAGAACAGAGGCTATCAAGATTTCGAATACACAGGTGCATCTACCTCAAGCTGTCTTCAACTTATGCGTAAAAATGAACATTCTGAAAGTATTTAGAAACATAATAGCAAAACATCTTTTGTAAAAATTCTGATGCAAATTAAAAGCTCCATCTTGGTTAGGGGAACTGAGGCTTTTCCATTTTGTCAGTGGGCTACATTGTCAGGATTTCTATGTCAGTGTAGTTACTGTGTGTCTCACTGAGTTTCAGGAACAGGCCAACAATCTGAACATTTTAGAACTTTACCTTCTGGCCATCACAGCTTGGGAGCAGTCGGCTTGTGCGTCCCTGCAGCATCGTAGGCAGGTCCCAGCAGCCGTAGCACGGCCTCTGCAGTGGCTGCGTGGGGGTGGTGGCGTTGGCAGCTGACATCACAGACATCGCCACACAAACACACTGAAAAGGTGAGACAAATGATCATTTTGCATGAACCAAGGACCCGAGACTCAAGCTTGGCGGATGGATCCAATGCTTCTGAGTTCAAAAAGCAAAGCAGGGGTCTTGCCACCAATTACAGGTACACTGCTCTTTCTTAAAGAAGTCTGCTGTATTGTGTTTGGTTTCACTCCTTTGCCAGCCGGAATAGCTGGCTTCCTGCCGTCTTTCCGGTGCCACTGAAAAGGTTTTACCGGCAGCACTTGAGTCAAAGAGCCCTTCTGAATGGTCACCTCAGTGCCAGGGACCACAGGGCATTCCCCAGCCTAAAAAGTCCCATGGGTGCTGTGATTTTGAAGTCCCCTCAAACCCTTTTATCATGAACACCTTGTGTCTCCTGTGCCGGGGGCGGGAGGGGACCGACTCCTGTCTCATTCCTAGCTTGCTCACAGTGTGTGGTGCAGTTCCCAGGGAGCTGCTGTCATTGCTCTTTGCAGGGCTGTAAGTGCCTGCCGCTGCTCCCAAGCAGGCTGCCAGGAGATACCCACAGTGCTTTTGAGTCCCAGTTTGATTGGCATTATGTACAAATGAATTTCCTACAGTCTTAACAATCCACTAAGAGTATCAGAATACACACATTTCCTTATGCCTCTTCAGAGTTGGGCTTGGCTAGCACAGAAACCGACATCCATATTCTGCAACAGCCTTTGGCTCCTTCAGATGTGGAGCAGCGGAGACGGTCTCCCCATGAAGCATCGCCCTGGTCGAGGGGCACGCAGGACAAAGCTACTTCCTTGGAGGTGCTCCAGGGGTGGAGGTGCTCCAGGGGTGGAGGTGCTCCAGGGATGGAGGTGCTCCAGGGGTGGGGCCCCCTGGGGAGCGGGCTGCAGGCGTCCTAGTCCTGGCCCTCTCAGTCACTCCTTAGGCACAACGTGCCTATTTCAAGGTGGAAAGCTGTCAGTGCGGAGCTAACCAGCTAGCTGGAGTTCCCTTTGTGCTGTTAACTAGAATTGGGCCTGAACACATCGCCTCATCTGATCTCAAGTGAAACTGGGCTAACTCATCCTGCTTGTTAGATCAGAGCCAGGTTAACATGGAGGTTCAGTAATCTGTCTCAGCAGTGGTATTATTAATTGTGCTTCTTAACACTGGTGATCAACTGGGAGAGCTTAAAGGACACAATCCTCGCCTGAGCTCCGTCAAGTCAGGCATGGCAGGTCTCTCTTGCTCCGAGTGGCTGTCACATGCTTTTGGCTTCCTAACCATCCCAGGACAACTCTACGAGGACACAAGCCCATTACAATTGGACTGTGTATGTCACAGCTGGGATATTCAGGGACTGAGTACGTCACACACAGTAAGTCCCTAAGTCCCTTCCCCATTTAAGAGTCAGTATTCTCGTTAGCATTCTGCACCACACCATAGGGAGAGGCTGACCCTCAGGCCAAGGGGGGAGGGAAGAGAGGGAAGGAAGAAGGTCGGAGCAGGGGAATCAGAAGTGCCTTCATCAGGTCGTACCTGCAGTCGTCGCCTCCTGTGCTGATGACATACTTGTCGTCGTAAGAGAAACGGATGTTTGTCACGTGAGCTGAATGGCCGAAGTAACGCTTGTGTTTGGCCTGTGAGCAGAAGTGAATGCGATCAGAGGCCTTGTCCCCCTACTCAATTTTGATCTTGTCCGGCCCCAGCCGCCCTTGCCCGAGACCTCCCTTCAACTAAAATTCCCATTTGATGTGAACACCTCAGCTTGCCCCTCTTTTGCTAAGCTCATTTTCACCCAGCCTCCAGCCACACTGTCCTCCCTCTAAGCTGCTCCCTTTTCCCAGTTCCTAGGGCCACTCCTCCAGGGGAGATGGAGAGGTTCAACACTGGCAAATTTCTACAGGCTTGGGACAAGATGCCTGCCATGCAGAGCCGTCCACACGTGGCCATGCCTCTGGCAGACTCAGGAGGTACAGGGACCTTAACTCAGAGGAAAACTCACAAATTTTTCTGTGCATGGAAAATCAAAGAGCTTCACTAGCCCAAAATCATCTCCTGTGACGATGTTCAGGCCAGCGTGGGTCACACATGCGCAGTTGACATCAGCCTTGTCTGCATTCCGAGGCCAGATTCCAAGGACTTCATCTCCCAGAATGCTATCCCCACGGGAAGAGGTGTTGGAAGGAAGACAAGGGACGAAAGTTTGCTGGGATCCACCACCCCTTCCCAAGGATACCAGACCCAATTCAGTAGGGATGTGGGGCTGCCCTGGCTTGGTACGGAAGTGCCTTTCTCCTCTGTATGCATGACCAGTTGTGTTCCACCCCCTCCCCACCTCCACCGCGCCACTGTGCCTCAGTGCCTTATACCCTAGGAAGAAAGTTAGCTCCACCTCGGGACATGGGAAGCTCCTTTCCCTTGAGTTGGCCAGGCATTCTGATCCCCTGTTCAGCAGTTCTCTCTCTCATTCCCTCTCCCTTGTGACATGAGGCCTGCCTGTGCATCTGAGCTTGGCCAAGAGGCAGGAGATGCTTTCCCTTCGCACTTGTTGGATATGGTTAGGAGTATGTAGGTCTCGTGCAGGACACACCAAAAAGAGGACTTTGCACTTCTAAAATTCAGATCCAATCAAATCCAGTAGGCTAGATGCATACAAAAAACCTCCTAGTTCACACCCTCGCCACCCCCAAGCTCCATACTGGAGCTACCTCAGATTCTAGCCACGCTTGGTCTAGCCACACTTGGGGGTAAGCCTACAGTAAGAGACCCCCTTGTGACTTTTGCCTCAAGATATGTTCTCTAGTCACCTTGTCCAGGAGGCCCAGGTGATCTTCTCAATGACCATGGCTTCCGTTACCTGCTTCCCTAGGGGGACTTCATGCACCTGCCGCTTATAGGCTCCTGTGGACACCTGCAAGGGGAAGGGAACACACATCAGCAGTTTCCTTTCACAGCTGCACTGACTGTGCCCGGTGTCCTGTCCTCTAGAACATGGGCCTAGTGTTCTCCAAGCTCAAGCTCAGCTCCAGGCTGCCAAGCCTGTGGGCAACTCAGGGCAAAATTCACAGAATGGGACTTTTTTTCAGCTTCGTTATTTTCCAAAGCCCTAATGCACTGGTTCTACAAGTGTGGTTCCCTGACTAGCAATATCAGCAGCCTCTGAAAATTGTTGAGAAATGCACTTTGTGGGGC